GTGCTGCAAGGATCGCGCTGCTCTGGAAGCGGAGGCCCTCCTTCTGCGCGCCCGACACCTCACGCACCAGGCGCTGGAAGGGCGCCTTCTGCAGGAGGAGGTCTGTGGAGCGCTGGAACTGGCGAATCTCGCGCAGCGCCACGGTGCCCGGGCGCCAGCGCCGTTGTGCGTGTTTCACGCCTGTCGCCGCACCAGGGGCCTTTGGCGCCTTCTTGCTCTTCTTGGACGTGATGGTGCGCTTGCTCCGTGCAGTTTCCTTGGATCGGCTCATTATCTTCCTTTTTTTTCTTTTTTTCGGGGTTGCTTCAACGCAGGTTGCTTTACTCTGCACCGCAAAACACACGAAAAAAGCACAGAAAAAGAAGGTGAACTAAGGCCGTGCAAGAGCGCCGCAGCAAAGAGAGACACGTATCGGGGTGCAGCCACCACAGAGGTGCAGGCTGATGTAGTTAGTATTGAATGATTTGCTATATGTGGTTTTCGATAAGAGAAGATGATGTAATAACTTTTTTTGTATCTATTATGTATGCTTATATTGTTTACTCTCGTTTTTGTTTAAGGGAAGGGAGTTTGGTGGGTGCTGCTGTATATTCTTTTGATATGTACAGTGCCGGAAAGTGCTGACTCGTTGGTTTTGTATGCATTTTTTTGGTGTATTATTTTAATTCTTCTGTAAGTGTTTGATGTCGGCGGAAGTGCTTTCGTGTGTGTGAGGGCCTCGGAGTTTGGTGTTGCACGCGTGTAGGACACGTTTTTTTTTTTGATTCTTGCGTGGCCTTAGAGTGTGGGAGAAGAGAGCGATGTGGGTCGGAGTGAAATTGGAAGGAGTAGTTGGCTTATCTACTTTCTGACGGTAGTGCTGCAATGGGTCTCAAAACAAGAAACAAAGGAAAAGAAAGGAACAGAGGGTTACGTGCGACGTCAAAAAAAAAAAAATAGTGATAACATCAACGGCACGACGTGTATGTTGTTCTTCTACCTCTCTCTCCTTGTGCCTTTTCTATAAGGTTGAAGCATAACAAGCAAGGAACTCCGCATCCTCCAACTGCCGCGGCTCCGGCTTTTTATGCTCCGCACAGAAGCGTGAACACGCCCTCACGAGGTGTTCGAATGATTCCAGGGCAGCATCAGCAAAGCCTCTGCTGTCTCCTTCTTCATCTAGTGCCGTGCTCACGATCCAGGTAACGAACGTGGGGTCTTTAGCGGATCTATGGCCAAGCTTCTCAAGTGGCGGCGACAACTCGTTAGTACCCTGAAAGGACAACACCGTAAGCCTGTGTTGTGGGGCGTAGTACATAATCCGCTCCACGGTGGACCAAGGAAACCGATATTCACAACACCAGGCCGATGCTTCGCATGCACCACTTCCATCCTGCTGCTGTTGCTACTGCCACCGTCGTCTATCAGCCTATTCCAATGAAGTTCTGTGAATGTGAGTGTGTAGGGGTGCGGCGTTTGGTTGACGTGTTTTCACACGCCTCTGCCACGCGGGCATCCACGTTTTCGCGCTGTGTTGCTGTCCTGCGGCTGAAGTAAGTTGTGCACTTCTACCCGCACTACATGTAGGGCTAAGATGGGGTAATTTGCGCCCCCATACTTTCTTCCTGCGGAAATAAGGCCGCAGCAACGTGGCCACCGCGCTGCGTGCATTTATTCACGTCGTCCTTGGCATTCGCTGTTTCATTGATTTGACCATCATTTTTTCCGGCGTTGACGCGTGGAATTTCCTCACGATCAGCAGGGCCTTGTAATGTCTGGTCGTGTTCATACTCCCACAGTTGCCTCGACGGCGCCTCGTTCCACCGTTTCAGCACTGTCGGCGGCTGGTTCGCTGTTGTCGTGGATCTGCGACCCGTCGTCAGAGGCGGCGACGTCATGCGTTGCAGGAGCTCCAGGGTAATCCGCTTCTCCTCCGCCTCCACAAAGTCAGCGTGGAGTACCACCGGCGGGGTCGACGCACAGTCGATGGGGATGTCGTCCGCATTGAGGGCCACGCACCATGTGACGATCTCCGGCGCGTGGATCACTGCGTCCGCTGGCAACGAGGCACCGGCTGCGATGTCACGCATCCCGCCAAAGACGAGCACATCGCGGTGACGCAGCGGCGTGACGACATTCGCTTCCACACGCTTACCGTTGACGAATGTGCCGTTGCTGCTGCCCATGTCAATTAGACACAGCTCCAACAGCGGCGCATCGCGACCACGTTTGCGATCAGCGGCCTTCTTCTTCTTACGCCCAGGGCCCTGTTTCTCATTTCCCTCCCCACGCTCTTTTTCCGCCTCCTCTTCGCCGCCGCCACTCAATGTAGCTAACACAGGACGCATAAAGAATTGGCAGTGGCTTTGCGAAGCAAACAGAAGGTGGGCGCTGAGAACAATATCGTTTTCAGGCGCCCGTCCAACCGTGACCGGCGTGCCGTCCGTCGGTACCAGTAGAGACATGCGACGCGGCAGAGTCTCGGGCCCTTTTGTGAGCACCATCTCGGCGTCGAAGTAATTCACCATCGCAAAGACAACACGTTCGGGGGCTAATGTGCAAATGAGGCGCCAATGTACATACGTGGGTGAAAGGAACACGGAAGAAACAAAAACCAAAGAAAGATAAAAGAGATAAGAGAAGAAGCGCGAAAAAAAGTATGGGACATTTAATAAATGTTTGAATAGCTGGGAAGAAAAAAAGGTTCAACACGGCGGCGATTTGGCGAAGACGGGGACGACGACGGCCGCAAAGCGGCTCACCGCTAAACGGACGTTGCAAAATGATAAGGGGGCCGCGCGGCGACAAGCAGTTCATTCCCTGCGTATATTACACCTACCTCTTATAATTACATGTTCATGGATGTGGCACCACCTGTGTGCTGCGTTGATATGAGCTTTGTGAAACTGTGGTTGAGCGAGTACTTGCCGTCGTACTTCACCTTGTCACAATCCTTGCCGTACTGCATTGACGTTGTCTCGTATAGCGGGTGCTTTTTTGTTTGGCAGAGGCCGCTCGCTTTACTACGCTTCCTTTCCGAATGGAGCGTGGTTGGCTCCTCGTCAAACCGAGCTCGAGGGCGGTCAAGCGAGAAGCTCCGGATACAGCGGAGCTCAAAGTCCTCGTCCCGCGGGGTAGTGTGGGAGATGCCGACGTAATACGCAACCAGTTCGTCTGTCGTGATGCCGTTCTCCGCCTGCGCCTCCTCGAAGTCGGCGAGAAATTCATCGACGAGTCCGCTCGGGTCTTGAAGCGTCAGCGCCAGCGGGTGCCGCATCACGTCGTACGTCTCCCGCAGCGTCTCGAAGCTGACGAACCCGGTCGACTCCGGGTCAACTCTGCGCACCACGAGACTAACGGCGTACTCACGGCGTGGCGGCAGCGTCGCCAGGAGGGCATGCACAAATGCGGCAACGTCAAAATTGGCGCCCTCGTTTCCAGCAAACTGTGCGGCAATCTCCGCAAAGTCGTTGTCGTCAACATACAGGCGGATACGGCGCAGCGCATCACGTACACCTGCGACAGTGTAGTCCGCCGTATCCATCCGTCGCATGGCGTATGCGACAAGCCATAGTTTTTTCCTCCCTAGGCGTTCTATCGCCTTTGCAACAAGTGCCTCCATCTGAGCCTTGCGCAGTTAGCACTGGACCTTTTTGTTGCTGCGGCACTACTCTACAAAAGCAGAACAGAGCAAAAAAAAAAAGGCAAGGCACTGAGAGGGAAAGAGAGATGAGGGAATTAGAAAGCGTGTGTGTACGTGCGTGCATGAGGCGAAGACTGTGACGAGCTGTGGGAACTTGGGAGAAGTTGGCGCCGAGGTCTTTTTTTTTTTTGGCTGTCGGTGTTGATTGGCCTCATTTCTTGTTTAAATGCTTCGTATCTTCCCCCTCGCAGAGACGGACCACACAGATACACCTTTCTTTTTTTTAGCCGTCTTTGTTTTTTTTTTTGCTTTTTACTAGAAGTTTTACCCCCTTTCGTTGCGCCACGTCGAGAGGGAGTGGCAAGTGGCCTTCAATGTGTGCCCGCGTGTGCGTGGGGACTAGTCCTCCTTGCTGTTGGCGGTGTGGGTTGGTGGACGAAGCAGCTGCAGCAGCAACAGAGCAGCAGCGAACAAGATGCTGCCCACAAGCGTGGATCCAAGCACCACACCAACAGCTGTCATCGCCACACGCAGGAACAAGACTGCTACCCACGCGTTTTGAGTTGCACTACTACCGCTACCGCCGTTATTACCCAAACCGTTTATGCGTCGAGCCGCGAGAAGCAGTGCATTTAGGCCAACGAAGGACTCAGCCGCCGATACAAGGTTCTCTGCATCAAAGCCAAGCACGCTTATAACGCGATACCAGCGGAAACAACGGTAGAGCACGAGCTCCACCGTTGTCCAGAGCGCAGCCACTGCCGCCGCCGCATCATCGCTGGCGTCGTGAACGCGCAGCACCTTCCGCGCCTTCGAGTCGTTTAGCACAAAATTCATCAATAATATGTCGACAACGGGTATCACCACCACCGTGACAAGGTGTTGCGGAAGTGGCATCCCTGCCAGAGACGCCAGCAGCGTTGACTCGGCAATCATGTACGACGCAATAACCGCCGCGAGTACAATGAGACGCCCAAATTCGATGTGGTGGCCCTTCGTGAGCAGAAAAATGGGCAGCACCATCAGTGTGAAGATGGTCGTGTTGGAGAGAAGCCCCATCACGTCACTTGATGTGCCTCTGAGCTTGCTTGATTGCTACGCAGCCTGCTAATGCGGATTAGAGCAGTGACTCTACACGTATGCACATGCATATACACGCACATTGGAGGGATAGAAAGAGAAAGAGAGAGAGAGAGAGCCAAGGGATGAGGGGGAAAAAATGCAGTATTAAGCGAAGTAAACAACGTGGCAAGCGCATCGATGTTCACTAAACTTAAGGGCCGCCCCCGCACTGTTCACCACTGCTGCTTCTATTTTTTTTCTTCCGGCGGCGGCGATGGCGGCATAATATCTTCCTCGTCGGTCCTCTGTTTTGTTTTTCTTCCCATCCGTTGTGTTTGCACAATAAGAAAGGAAAAAGAACCGGAGAAACAATGATAGCTAACACAACACCGCTAACGAGCGATGCAAAAAGCACCAGATATTCCCAAAGAACGGGAGTGTGAGGAGGAAAGCAGAGCACAAGAGAGGGGTGATGGCGGTGGCGCTGGTGGTGGTAAGTAGAGCTACGCGAGGGCACTTGTCCCGAACGACACGTTGGCAGCAAGTTGGTGTACCACCTGCCGCACGACGCTGAGCGAGTAATCCGTGGATAATGCAAGGAACAAAAAGGCACAACCATCACAGCACACCACGACCCCCACACGCATCGACGTGACCTCCTCACGGGAGTCACAGGAGGGCGATTGCAGCAGCAGCGGGTCCACTGCGCCCGCCGATGCCAACGCGGACGCCCCAGCAGATGCATCCAATGAATCCGTCGGCAGCGCCAAACCCCCTTCCGCCCCACATTCCACCGCTGGGTACGATACGGTGCTCCAGTAGCGAGCGAAGGGATTGATATTTCCCACTTCCTCGTCTAGCGCAAGTAAACCCGCGTCGCTGTCGTCGTCGCCATCCACGTGTTCATAGTGAAGCTCCAGCGCGGGCCGCGACCCGAGCATTGTCGTCCTCAAGTGATGCACACACACACGATCGGGTAACTGCAAAAGGTAGTTTTGCACGACATTCTCTAGGCGTGTCGTCATTCGGCCCTGCGACTGCAGTAACGCGAAGGGGGCGGAGGGACACGGGAACACTCGCAACAGCACCCTGACATGTTCAGGCCCGCCGACGTGAATAAGTGCCAGGGGATCACCAATGATGGGCTCTTCCACTAGCACCGAGGTGGCCTCCGCCGCACTCGCGGGCCCAAGCAGAATGTTAAATGGCAGCACCTCGTGCCGTGTATTGCAGTAAATGAGTGATGTGCTCTGGCCAAAGTGGTTGCCAACCGACACCGTGTCCAGCGTGCGGTGGCAGAAGGTGATAAATTCCTCCAGGGTGTGCCGTGTTGTGGAGGAGAGAAAGCTGATCGACACACACGCGTCACGGATGCGCATACAAAAAACACTTAAATACGCCGAGATAGTGGTAGACACCTTCCCTTTATGCTCGTCATCTCGTCGTGGCCCCCCTCCCCCTACGTACTTTTCACTCTCGTTCCCCTCCTCACACTGTAGCTGCAGCAGGTTACACAGCACCGCAAACGATGCCCCCTGCGGGTCAAGCACCACTTCCTGTACACAAAAAGCACCGTCAAGCAAAAGCGTGTCACCGGCATCATCGTCCACCGCGTTGTCGCCGTTGATGGGCACAACAAGCTGCTGTGGGCGCACAATGATGCTGCGCTTGTCCTTCTCCTGTGACAACTCTTGCCCCTTCGCACACCAAACGGCAGCAATGGGCGATACCCCTTTTCTTTCTTCCTCTTCATCCTCTCCACCTCCGCAAACTCTTTGCGCCACCGAAAAGCGCGTCAGTGCCGTGCGAAGAAGACGCTCAAAAAATGGTTGCCACGAGACGTGTCCACGTGCAAGCGGTTCATAACACGCCGCCACCACCATCCGCCGCGTCCCACACCCTGCAACTGCAGCGAAGGGCGTACCGCATTCACCAACGCCACCCGTGTTCTTTCCACCATTGCCAGGAGAAAGTCTCAAGCTCCGCATGCTTGACATCAACTCCACTGGTGACGATCTTGCAACGCCATGATGGCCCACAACACCATTGTTGCAACTGCTGTTGTACCCACTTTCAATAGTTCCGTTTTTCACGGAAGGCTCATCAGACACTTCAAGGACCTCGCGCAGCTGGTCATCCATGGCAAAGTCAAGCGGCAGTCGAAAGCCGAGGCCAAGACGCGGCTCTGCACACAACAAGTACGATGACGTTGGCTGCGGTGGTTGCAGCTGAATAGAGCGTACAAGTTCATTGAATGCCGTCGGAAGCACCCCCTTGACGCGTGTGTCAGCGACGTACTGCGCCGTGACAGCCAAACTTCCGTGCGTCAGAAACACGGACAGGGCATAACGCATATTGTTTCCCGCGTCCATATAGCAGTACTCTGCGCAGGGATGCGATGTGGCGCCAATACGAGTACTGTTACATGACAAAAGCTTGACACAGTCGCGTACGCGGGCAAGGCTGCCATCGCGGTACTCCTGTGCTGTCACCGCAGTGGCGCATGACTCAATGATGACAGAGACGCGATGCTCTGGCTGTCGCAGATATCGCAGAGCAACAAGCAGCAGCGGTGCCTGCCGCTCTTCCATCTCTACCGCAAAGAGAATTGGCGAGAAGAGCATGCGCACCCCTATAACATCATCCCTCCACTCAAGAAGATTGGCACTGTATTGGCCCACGTGTCTCTCGGCCCGCACCGCGTAGTATGACTTGTGGTCACTTGCCGCTGCTCCTCCTCCTCTGCCCGCAACCCCCGTGTGTCTGCTTGCATCTCCTCCACCCCCAGCCGCCGTTGCACCCCCAGCGCTACTAATATTATTCCCATACGATGTATGACGTTCTTCATTCAACCGCTTCCCAAGCAACGAAACGTGGCTTGACACATGGGGCTCGCCTGTGCGTCGCCTGTTTGCTATGTACGTGACAGCGGAAAGCACAACGGCAAGACCGGCGAGGATGGCCGTAACACCAACATTACCCGCTGAAACCACCGGTCCACCCCCAACCCCGCCACTACTACTACTTCCCATATCCAACACGCAGACTACGGGTCCTACAGGAAAGGATAAAAACACTGGAAAAAGATCTTTTTGCCTGTGGAGAAAAAAAAAACAACAACAACAACTGATGCTACCGCCATCCCTTACGCCACACACACACCCACCGTCAATATGTATTATATATATATATATATATTGAAGGGATATTTTCTTGCCTTTCCATGTACATACGTATATATACGCTATGGTACATGAGAGGATCCCCATCTGAATGCATCCACCTCATTCACTCTCTTTCTCGCTCTCTGCAAATATGCGCGATATAGCTGCTGCTTCTTTAGGGTCCTCAGAAACATCACAGAAGCCTCCCTTCCCCTTCCAAGATGGGCATGCATGATTATATATATATATATATATATATAATTTCGTATATACCCTCCCACCACCCATCCCCACACGTACATAAACACAAACACACCCAAAAAAAGAGAAAATCGCGTTGTGTATAAAACCACGTCACTATTCGTGTTTTTTAATTACTTTTGTTTTCTTGTCTTACTGTTACTTTGACCACTATCCCTTTCAACGCCTCTAATCCAGTGTGAGGTTAGGCATCACCCATCCGGCGCTGCACCCTCCACAAACCCCGCGCCCACAGGCTTGTTTGGACCTCGGTACATCTCCAGCTTAGTCATCTTCTTCCACTATCATGTCGCCATCGTCGTTGTCCTTCTGCAAGAATGCGGGATCGTACTCCGCGAGGTGTGCCCGCAGCGTCCTAATCTGCTTGTTCTTGTGCGTCAAGATCCTCTTCATATCCTGATATTGGGTTGACTGGTTCAGTCGCGTGTTCAGTTCCAGTCTCGCCGACGCCAACGCCATTCGCAGCTCATCCACGGACTGGTTTAGAGCCTCGTCCTGCTCCTTTTTTCCCGCCGCCGCCGCTGCTACGTTACGCAACTGAAGGGCATCGGACATCGACAACAGCGTCGTTGTGTCGACAGACCGCATGCTCATCACCTGGGCGTACGCGTCTGCGAGACAGCGCACCTTCTCCTGCAGACGGTGTATCTCCTCCTTGGCTTCAGCAAGCTGCCGGATGGCCTCACCTTCGGCGTCGGCGACTGTCAGCGGTGCAAGACGACCACACGGTCCACTGAGGAGTTGCCGCTCATGGTCCAGCAATAGACTGGTAGCAGCAGCCCCCGCCGTGGTGGTGGTGGTGGCGGTGGCCGCAGAAGTCGCGGGGGCGGCGCTGGCAGCAGCAGCAGCGTTCAGCACTGCGTCCACGTCCACTTTAATTGTCACGCGTTGACGATCAGCGTCCCGAAGGACCGCACGCAGCAGCTCCGCAGAGGAGCCCGCAAACTTCTCGATGCGGGCATCCAGCGAGTGGAGCAACAACGCAGTGTGGCCACTAAGTATGTCCTTGAGCTCATCCTTTGTGTAAGTCTCCTGCAGTATGTTTCCCACCTGGTGGCTGGCGGCATCCAAGTGGACACCGCGCTTCAAGCCGTCGCACGCCAGACGAGTCCACTGCAGGTAATGATCAATGATGGTGCGTGACTCAGTGGAAAGTCCAAACAATGAATCGCCCATTTTTGCTAATACAAAATGTGTCTCACCCGTTTTCCTCTTTATAAAATTCACCTTATTTTTTCACTGCGTTCTCTTAGTGGGCAAATGTGCATCAGTTATACAGAAACATATAAAGAGAGAGAGGGAGGAAGAATAGGCTTGTCCCACAGACACACACGTAGAGATATTGTATGTACGTATGCGTGTACTGACACGCATACACGCAATTCGAGGTGCCTATCGTGTAGGCAATGACCTCCCCCCCCTCTTAACAATAACAAAAAGAACCAGCAGGGGCATTACAAAAGCACACACATACACACACTTTAAGTATATAGACACACCGTCACAGACAGACGGAGTCTCAATGAGCGTGGGCGGGAGATGGGAGCACAACGCACGACTACCTGCGATGCGACTTGCGTGGCGGCAGAGAAGCCAAAAAAGAATGCGAAAAACAAGCAAACAAACGAGCAAAACATCAAACAAACAGACATCCCTCCTTACCCCTCCTTCCGCCCAAGTAACAACAAAAAAAGCAATGCACGGGTGACGTTGCCCCCCTCGCGAGAAAGCAGCTCAAAAAAAAAACAACAACCACATATCCCCCCCCCTCTTCTTCTCTACAGCCACTCTTCACCCGTCACCCGCCGGCTATATATTTATGTGTATGTGTATGTGAGGGGAGGGGGG